GTTAGTAAGATGTGAGTTGTGATCTTTTAATTGTCTTAATGATGTAATGAGATTGATGTTGTAATAATGCTCAAAGAACATATCTTAACAGTCTTGTCTTGTTTGGGTAAACTTCTAACACATATGGTGCTTTTACAACTTTCTAAAAATCCGCTTACCTTTACTGTTTCCCACATTTTCCTTCTGCCACACCAATAATTCCATGTGGAAGCAGGAAAGAATTCCCCTCTAGCACTGAGTGTGCTCATCACTGCACACCTCCAGCGAAAACACGGAATATTGAGGGGGCAGCTCACTGACCCAACCACCCTTGGTGAGCACAGAAGCTGCACAAGCAAATACTGAGAAAGTGAACTGACCTCAGGAAGTTTAAAGTGCCTTAAACATCCCATTTGGCTAAAGATCAAACCAAAAATAAAGCCTTTACAGGTAATGATTTATGACTTGCTAGTGTCTTAAGCAAGCTACTGATCACAGTCCAAGCTACTGAGAGAGCAAAGGAGCTTTGCTGGCTGCCCAGAAGCAAAAAGAAAAAATCTGAATTAACATTTTTAACATTTTATCTCTTCAGAGATGATGTGAAAAGCTCCCCAGTGATACAGAGCCAGAGTCCTCACACTCAGCTGCAGCATCACAGGATCTGCCCCACAGATTTTCAGAGTCAAATGCTGTCACCACGTATTTTAAAGAGACAAAAACATATTGAATAACAGCCCTGAGTCCATGCCAAACTTTATGCCAAGCTGCAATTCCCCAGAGGGCTTCCCAGCTCCCAATAAACACCAATAAACCGAGCAGATTATAAAATCAGTTTGCATGAACAGCAATGCAGACAGAAAAAAATGTGCTGGCTGTGCAGGGACTGAGGAGAAGCTGTTTCAGAAATGAGCAGGAGCGGAGCAAAGAGCAGAAATAAACTGAAATACTCCTCACAGAACAATAATCCAGGGCAACTGAGGCAGAACTCCTCTAAACACAGCTTTGTTTTGTTTTTGAGGGCTTTATTGGAAAGTGAATTAGGTATTTAACTTGGCTGTGAAAGATTCTGAGTTTGCCACCATCGCTCTTGAGTGTGAAATAATCCGTTCATTAAATAGCAAAGAAAACTAGTTTTAAATAGAGCCAATTCCATCAGCATATCTAATCTTGTTTTCCCTCCCTGAAAACGTTCTCTTCACCCACTGAATTTATGAAAAGCTTCTCTGCTTCCTGAAGAGCACTTAGCCACTGACACTCTCCATAAATGCCTTCCCAGCAATGCCTGGAACAACTGAAATAATTCCCAACCACTCAGGCATCATCAGCAGCAAAATGCAGAGATCAAGAAGAGCCTTACCCAGACCAATTCTATCATTTAGTGCCAAATTCAGAGAAATCCACCATTCATTTTAATAATTCAGACTAGCTGGGGGCAGTGCCAGCTCCACTTCTAATCCTGAAAGTCAAGCAAGCTCGCTTTGCAGCTTTGCTTCCAGCAGTGCCACGTGGAACTGGTTCAGGCACAGGGTTTTTCCACTCTCGTGGGCTCCCACAGCCTTCCCCACCCCTCTTCATTTGTGATTTTCATTTTTCACCTCGTTTTCCTCACTTAAAACAACATTTTGTATGGGGAGAAGCAGCCAGCTCTCAGGAACCAAAGGCTCAGTTCACATTCCAGAGCAGATCCAGCAACATTTTAAAGCCCTGACACGAATCTTGAAGGCACAAACACAGCACATATTTTTAGACTAAAGCCTTATACGTGCTCAAAGTGTGTTGCTAAAATGGAAAGAGGCTTTTCCCAGGGACATGGAGTGAAAGGACAAGGGGAAATGTCCTTAAACCGAAAGTGAGCAGGTTCAGATGGGATATTAGGAAGGAAATCTCCCCTGGGAGGGTGGGCAGGCCCTGGCACAGGGTGCCCAGAGAAACTGTGGCTGCTGGAAGTGCCCAAGGTCAGGTTGGACAGGGCATGGAGCCCATGGCAGGAGGTTGGAACAGGATGATCTTTAAGGTCCCTTCGATCCCAAACCACTCTGTGATTCTGTTAAATTCTCTCAAGCTCTCCCAGCCAAGCTTTGCTACAACCACTGCTGCCCTTGCAAAGCTGCACTGAATACATATACATATATATACACATACAAATAGACATTTTGTAAAAAATGCATGTTTTATGATTGGCTTTTCCCAAATGTTACCATGAATATTATATGTGTAATGTCAGAAAGTTATGCTGTATTAATTCTCTTAAGTAGTGTGTTAAATATAGTTTTAAGTTAAAACATAATGTTGAAATAGAAACTCTGCGATGTAGGATTTTTTTACTAGCTCAAGCAAGAAATGAGATCATCAAGAAACTCTTCACACAGGGATGACACTGATTTGGGGCCCATAAAGAGTTACAGCCTCCTTATCAGAAAAGACAAACATTCTCCCAACTTCTCTCCGTCTTTATGGAACCACCGGGATTAAGGAGATGCTGACAAAAACCAGAAAAGTCCTTAATTTACAAGGAATTTATGCATCATGTATGAGCTATATGAATATGCAAGAGGCTATTGCTTTTAAGGTTATTCCTTTATTCACAAGGCATGCTTTTCATGACTTAGTGTCTGAGAGCATCTGGATATCCGTAATTCTTTACTTTTTATTGTCTTGTAATTGTCCTAACTCTACATTTTATTCCTTTAATTGTATAATTATATTAATAATAATGTTATTATTATCATTAAACTTTTAACATTTTAAAAACCAAGCGATGGGCCTTTTCCACACATTTGCAGCACACAGAGCATCACCCCTCAGCCTATTTCCTATCCCAACAAGCTCCGGCAAGCAGCGAGGAGAGGGAACCACACCTGAGCTGACATTTCCCACCAAAGCCACCACCTGGCGTGTGGGAATTCCCTCCGCGCCTTATCCCAAAGCCCTTCCGGCCAGCAAAAACCCCACAACCAAACCACGATCCCACCCGCGCTGCTCCGGGATGCCGTGATGCTCATCCCCGCGGCTCTACCTGCGCCTCGCCGGTGCAGAACACCTTGCCGCCGACTCGGAGGCAGACTCGCTCCTCGGGGTGCGGCTGCCGGGCGCAGAAGGTGAAGGAGCAGCGGGAGCGGTGCAGTCTCCGCACGGTGCTGCGGACCAGCGCGGCCGAGCGCGGCCCCCAGCGCGCCCACAGGTACAGGTAGCACAGCGTGATCAGCATGGCGGGCGCATAGCCCCGCCCCTCCCGCCCGCCTCGCCCAATGGCAGCGCTGAACGTCAGCAGGGCGGGCACCGCTCGCAGCGCTGATTGGCTGCTGCCGCCCCGCCCCTTTCGCGCCGTCGCGTCTCTCCCCTCAGCGCTGCCGGCGTCCCCTCACGCTGAGGGGATGTGTAAAAAGGAATAAAGAGCGCTCAAAAAGTGGCTCCGGGCGTTGTGTCTTTGCGGAGGGATAAGTTGTAGCCAGCCGGGCTCTGGTGGAGGAAAAGGAGGAGGAGCAGGCGACGTTTTCTTGCTGCCGGCGCCACGACTCGGCTTCTCCGGGAATGGCAGTATGGTTTGGGTTAAAAGGGACTTAAAAGCTCATCCAGCTCCACCCCCTGCCCCGTGGGCAGGGACGCCTTCCAATGTTCCAGGGTGTTGCAAGCCCCAGTGTCCAACCTGGCCTTAGGCACTGCCAGGGATCCAGGGGCAGCCTCAGCTGCTCTGGGAATTCCATCCCAGGGGTTCCCCACCCTCCTAGGGAAGGATTTTTTTCCCAATATCCCACCTAAACTTGGGATTTTTCAGTGTGAAGCCATTCCCTGTGTGCTGTCCCTCTATCCCCTGGAAATTGTCTCTCTCCAGCTTTCCTGGGGCTCCTCCGGGCCCTGCAAGGCCACCCTGAGCTCAGCCCAAAGCTTCTCCTGTGCAGGGGAACAATCCCAGCTGTGCCAGCCTTTCCTCCCAGCAGAGCTGCTCCATCCCTCTGCTCATCCTGGAGCCTCCTCTGGGCTCTCTGCAGCAGCTCCAGCTCCTCCTGGGCTGGGACAGGGCTGGGGCAGCTCTGCAGGTCTCAGGGCTCTCACCTGTGGGGCACAGGGGCACAATCCCCCCATCACCTGCTGCTCCCACCATTTGAGATGGAGCTCAGGGTAAATCTGCTTCTCCAAAGCTAAAACTATCCTGATGGACTACAAGAAAAGATCTCATCTTCCTCAGAAATCACTTGACACTGCTACCTGAATGTGGGAATCCAGGGCTTCCCTCTGGCTGCCCTGGCAGGTCTGGGACCCTGGCAGGGGTCAGGAACCCCCCTGTACAGAGCCCCCAGAGACACTGTCTGTGATCTCTGTCCATGGGAAATAGTTTTCAATCTTACAGGATGAATTACAAGCTCTGAGTGTTTGATAAGAATAATAATTAAGTGTGACATGGGTGCAAGATTAAAATTTTAGGTTTCTAGATTAGGGGTTCAGAGGGGACAAGATGGAGGAATTGGGTGTGCCTTGTCCTTTTTCTCCTTCTTCATGCCCTCCATGTTTCACTGTGGTGTTGGCATTTTTCTATTGGTTTATGCTGGGGACACACTGTCCAACGTAGGTGACAGATATTGGCACGTTATTGTAAATCCAGCACAGGTAGTTTGTGGTATTTAATGTTTGTACCATCCCACTGAGGGCAGAGCCCCACACGCTGCCCTGCAGGACAGAGCTGCGGCAGGGCAGCAGAACATGTTAGAGATAAACAGAATAAACAACCTTGAAACCAGCACAGACCAATTATGGCTTCTGCTTTGGCAACGGGGCAGAAAGACAGAGACTTTCTACAATCTCAGAATCATCAATAGCACAGATTCCGACACCTGAACTTATTCCTGGGTTGATGGTGCCCTAAAAGCACAATATTCCCTTTTGTATCCCACACAGAACTAGGGGAAGACACCTGTCTCCAGTTCCCATTCCTGTAGCCCCCAAAGGCACAAATGGATGCATTTAATTCCAGCTGGTTCATTGCAGTCACCAAAGGAGAAAGGGCTGATCACTGACATCAGAGTGAGGAACAGCCTGGCAAGGAATTAAACTGTAGGATTTTCACGTGCCCTGTGTGCTGCAAACACAAATTGCTCCTCCAGAACAGACAACAAGTTATGCTTTACTCCTCCAATATATCTATGCACTAAATTTATCAAATATTTTCTACATTTTATAGGGAAAGGAGTCACAACACAGCTCTGGGAAAGGAAGGTGTGGATCTGTCTGATCCTAGCAGGTGTGGGAGTGAAAGGAGAAGATAAAAAATGCAAAATTCAAGGCTACAAGAAAGAAGACAACACCTGCCTTGACAGATATGTGAGGTTTGTTTCCTGAACAACATTCAGTTGTTTCCTGAACAAGGCAGAAAGCCACAAACTTTTTTTATTATTCTGAACTCAAGGTCTTGTCCTTCACTTGGAAATTCAGTGCAATGGGTATTCTAAAAGAACAGTTTTATCCCTAAGTGGATCTCTAGCAATAGCATGCTAGCTCTGTAGATAAACAAGGAACAAATTGTCTCTGCTCTCACTTTTCAAGTGAAAGGAGGAGAGGAAATGGTTTTAAGTTGTGGCAGGGAAATGTTTTTTTTCCCTGGCAGAGTGGTCAGGCCTTGAGATGAGCTGCCCAGGGAGGTTTGAAGTCACTGGAATTGTCCCAGAGGAGTCTGGATGTGGCCTTGGGGACAGGGTTTGGGGTGATGCTGGTGGGACTGGATGATCCTAAAGGGCTCTTCCAGCCCTGTGATTCTGGCCTTGAACACCTCCAGGGATGGGACATAATATTTCCACAACTCATGGCACAAACAGATTACAGTTTCAGTTGTAATGCCAAATATTTTAAGTCACTCTTCATCTCAAGCTTCAGAAACACCAATCTTGTGCTGCTGCCACATCCTGCCCTTCACAGAGAGGAACAAATCCCCAGTGCTCCTCACCTGGCACCTCACACTGCTCCTTTCTGTGCCTTCACCTTGTGCAGGAAGTCCAAATCCTTGCCTGGGCACATCAAAAGAAAGAAAACAATTTCCAAAGCGAGCTCTGAGCTGTGGAATTCACTTTCTCTGTGTCAGCTCAGGTGCACTGCTGAGCCCTGAGCTTGCACAGAGCTCAGCTCTTTGTGAAACCTTTCCACAGGCAGGAAGGGGCTGCGCTTCAAATCCTGCTGCCATCAAATGCACTCAGCTCCACAATGAATATTTTTTGATTTTTGAGGTTCCCCTACCCTGGAAAGGTTTATGAATAAATGAGAAAACTGAATCAAAGCCTCACCATGCAAGGGAATCTAAAGCAGAACAGGCAAAACCAGTCCCTGTTTCAAGACAAGCTCCTGCCTGTGTTGACACAGAATTATTTAGAGCTGTGAAGCTGCTGGAGGTTCTAGTTTCTGTAATATTGTAACTTGGAATTAATCATGACAAGCTTTGACTAAAAAGTTCAAAATTTTAGACAAGCTTTGACTAGAAAGTTCAGCGTTTTAAATTGCAAAAAACGTTCTGTTGTTATTATTGTTTTTATTATTCAACCAAGGCCTTGTGTGCACTATTTTACTAAAATAGAGTTTTCTAAAATAAGATTACCATGTCAGTCAGCTCCTCTTTACAGAGGGTGGAAGGAAGCCTTGGAAATAACAGGGAATAACATCAGCCCTCAAATCTGCCAGCTGTACCTTGTAACCTTGGAGTAGCTGAGCTGCTCTTTTTGACCTTACTGGAATATTTTGCTGTGCTTTGTGACCAACTGGTTCTTCCTCCTTCTGCTTCTTAAAAGCTTTTCCAAGGATTTTTTTCTGGGAGGAGCTTTTCCTGCTGTCAATGTCTGTGGTTTCTTGTTTAATATTAGATATTATTCAAAACTGTAAATGCTGTAGAGATGTCCAGGTTCCCCAAATATACCAATTTATGTTGAGCACCCTTTATTCCTGCAAATGCACAATTGCCTTCATGAGAAAACTGCATAAAACCCATTCCTCACAAAGATAAAACCCTCTTTTAATTCACACAAAATGATTAGCACAGGGCTCATCTTTCTGTAGAAGTTAAATCAAAGTTATTCCCAGGTAATGTCAGAGATCTGAATAATTCCCCTGACATCTTGGAAAAATTTTCGTATTCTGAGTTCTTCACCAAATATCAAAATTAAGCAACTTACATTAAAATTACTGCAAAAAGGAACCTGACTTTAGTTAATGATTTCCACAAAAATGCCAATTAAAGTTGTGTGGTTTGCTTGATTAGTACTATAATGTAATATTCACCTTTTTTCTACAAGTAATTCTATTTGATCACGTTGCAGCTTCGTCACCAAAGTTGTATTTTCAATAATTTTGTAATAAAATTGGTCTTGCAGGGCTTTATCAAGAGATTTAATTGAGAATAACTTTGCATCTTCTGGAGTGTTAAATTCCAGCAGTTCAGGCTCTAGTCCTGCACTAATATCCATGGTGGCAGAGGCATAAATCAATTATCCTCACATCCAGATCTGATTGCAAGAGCACAAAGATCAATTCTTCAATACAAACTCTCCTCCTTTCAACTCTCAAGTTAAATCAGGACTAAACAAAAGTGGGCTGCTGAAATTAAATATGTGGAGGTCAGACTGGAATTTAGCAAGATATTTAATTACACTGCAGGTCATTTAAGAAGTTTGCCATTTTTCCTCAGGACCTGTGCTGTTATTTAACAAATATTTTGGATTTTTAATATTATTCACCATGTTCTTTGTTCCATTAATTGTGCTGATTTTGGTACAGAAATGATCAAAGGGATTGAGACTGTGCATGTATTTTTTATTTGTAAAAAGGCACTTTTGATTTCTTTACAACTTCACAGATATCACAAAGTATTTAAACATGGCAAGGAGTAGATTTAGACTGAAGGCGCCCAATTCACACTAAATAACCTGTGGTCAGTAAATGAAATTATTTTTGAAGAAAGTTTAATGTGAACTTGGACTTTTTTTTTTTTTTTAGGACAGGATGTGGACGAGTTCTCCCAGAACATGTAAAAAGTGCATTTACAGAATGTATTTAATAAAGAGAAAATCCTGATTGTGCAGCAATCCTGAAAATTCTGTAAATTCACAGTCAGTAAAACAGGGAAGGGAAGGGAAGGGAAGGGAAGGGAAGGGAAGGGAAGGGAAGGGAAGGGAAGGGAAGGGAAGGGAAGGGAAGGGAAGGGAAGGGAAGGGAAGGGAAGGGAAGGGAAGGGAAGGGAAGGGAAGGGAAGGGAAGGGAAGGGAAGGGAAGGGAAGGGAAGGGAAGGGAAGGGAAGGGAAGGGAAGGGAAGGGAAGGGAAGGGAAGGGAAGGGAAGGGAAGGCAGGACCAGGGAGGCTTTTCCAGCTGGGGAATCTCCAACTGTGAGTATGGAATTATTCCATCGACTAGAATCCCAAAAACATTTGTCAATATCAGGAGTAAAGGGCAAAATATATTTCTAAAAGCATCATCATTATTTTTCATTTTATTAATTTTATTACAATAATTTCATTATTTTATTTGTTTTGCTGGGACTTCCTCCTTTTAAGCCAGCATTTCAGAACTAAAATTAAGGTTGTGATAATCTTATTGTTATCATTTTTATGCTTATTTGAAAGTGCTTTTCCATTTCTCCAGCTGGATCTGTTGCACAGCACCAGAGATGGAAAATCCTGGTGGAAAAGCATCCAGAATCGTGGTGACCCCAACCAAAAAAAGGCAGACACAGCACTCCATCTGGGCTAATGGGATCAGATTGTTCTCCTTGGATTAATGCTGGAGTTGCTGCCTCAAAAAATAACCAGGCACTCATTGAGCACAGGGAATCTGTGAGGGAGGCAGGGAGAGGTAATTTGGGAGTTTTCTGCACGAATGAAAAGATTTCAGTGTTATTTAAACCATCTCGAGTTCACTTGGAACTGGGAGATCCTAAAGGGAAAGGAACTCTTGGTGAAAAATGAGCCAGGGGGTGGCTGAGGTGTGGGGAGAAGCCAAATATCGCCATAAAAATCCAGATTTACTACATGGGAATGCTTCAGGGATGCACAGGATGAGATTTTGGATGGGGAGAGCCAACAAATGGTGAGAGCAAATTTTGGGGAAAAACCCCTTGGGGAAAAGCAGGAATTGAACATGGGAAGCCAGGCTTGGTCAGTTCCTCATTTGTTCTTTCAAGCATTTCTTTAGTGCTGGAAAAACATGGTTTAAATTCGAGTTCTGTGCATGGTGATGGGTGAGAGTATCTCTAATTTAGTGTTAGATATAGAATTATTATCAGTTCTTCTAAATAGATTATTAATATATTTATTTAGTAATAATGATGTAGTAATAAAGTAATAATAATGTAGCAATAATTTATATTACTAATATAATATCAAGAGCTGCTGAAACAACTGCTTACTCCACACAACCCTCATTTTACAGCACTTCATATTTGCTGAATTATATATATATATATATATATATATATATATATATATATATATATATATATATAAAAGAATAACCTCAATTTGAAATCTCTGGGCATAATCTGGATGTGATGTTTTGTATATAGGGAGAGTTTAAGTGAAAATTACTTTTCAAAACATGTTTTTATGTGCATAATTTAATTTATTGGCTATTTTGGGAGGGACGTTGCTATAAGTAAACCACTGAGGAAATCAACAGAAAATTGAATTTTAAAGTAACTCTGTCTGGCTTTGAATGCACTGGGATTTTTAGTTTTACTTGCTTGGGTGGGAAAGCTGAAGGAACAAAAATAGAGATTGAGGCACAATCAACAGAGGTCCTGAGGTTTTATTTTCATGAGAGGACAGACCCACAGTGATGATGTCAAGAATTCCACTCAGAGGAAAAAACAAACAAAGCAACATTGCTGTGGAATTCTCCAGTTCCCTAAAGAAAATAAGTGAAATCTTCATTTTGAGTCCATTCCAATTAATAAATGTGTCTCTTTCCAGCCAGAAATGGATGGTGAAAGGATAAATTGGAGATCAAAAGGAGCCCTGGGGTTCCAGCATCCACTGAGGTGAGTTAATCCTGTCACATGAGAGAGGAAAAGTGACCAAAAAAAAAGAAGAAAAAAAAAAGCTGAAACTCCTTCCTTCTAAGGAGAAGGATCAGTTTGTCCCTGGAAAAATCTCATTTTAATAAAAATTTAATTACTCACTAAACTGCACAGATTTTTATCCCTCAGCAAAGACACCCAGGCTGAACGGAACCTAAAAAAAGATGAAAATAAGGAAAAAATAATTTTAAAACTCCATTTTTTTGCCTCACCTAATTTATGTTTCCATTTATTGCTTACTAAGCCCAAATAATGAATAGGAACAGCTGCTAATGGAGTGGGATTGGTACAGATTTGAGGTTGCTTTAATTTGCTCTTGATTAAAAATTGAACTCCAGGTAAAACTTGTTAAGGTCAGAGGACTGATAAGGGTCTTCACCAATATTTGCATTCTTTGATGAGGAAACTCCTAATTGTGATTTTCCTTTGGAGGAGGAAAATCAATGGAATCTCCCTTTTCTTTACAAGCCTTTGTTCTAAAAGCTGTGGCAGCTGAAATTCTGGGTGACCTTAACTGCTGTCAGATTTCATTGGAAATTGGCCCAAGTGAAACCAAGAGGGGCCATTTATGATTTTAATACAAAACAATGTGGATTTTGAAATACATAAATCAGTCTACACCTCCTCCACCTGGAGACACAAAATCCACTAAAATCAACCTCTGTACCTCAGGCCACCAACCCCAATCTAACCCTGGTATCCTGATCCTAATTCTAGATTTAATTAATTAAAAAATAAGTTTTAATGTTCAGGCTATATTGGATGGGAAAGTGTTGCACTGTTTAACTTTTTCTCTTAAAATGTGTTTTCTTCTTCTCAGGCTTTATTTGCCCAAATCCAAATCCCAGAAGTTTCTTGCTAACACTGGGGAGAAGCTTCTGGCCAGTTTTCCTGTACAAGCCACAATTCACTTCTACAATGATGATGCTGAGTCTGAGGAAGAGGAAGAGCCTTGAAAGACCCAGAATCCACATTAAAAAAATGAAGAATTTCAAAGGGAACCATCAGGAATGGATGTACAAACATCTGACCAAACAGAGAAATCTGGCAGAACTCAAAAGGAAATTATTTATAATTCTCTTTCCAAGGAAAATGAGTCAAAGCACCGGAAAATGGGAGGAAATCCTTTTGTGTTTTTAGAGACTTTCACAAAAGGCTTAAATCAGGTTCATTTCAGTAGCCCAGATAAAGAAAATTGGGAGCACTGTACTGAGTCTTTATTTTAAATACTACAGTCCTGAGAAAATGAAAAATTCATTGATTATGAGGCTGAATAATGTAATGTACAGCCCCAAAACAACCCAAAGACTTTGAAACACACTGAAATTAGGCAAGGAATTATTTAAATGTTGCTTACTGGCTACATGGGATGTATTTTTTCTGCTAGAAATGCTGAATGCCCAGCTGGCCTCACCCATTTTCAGTACAACACAGGTTCTACCCAACATTTGTGATATTTCCTGGGGTTCTGCCATTCTCTTCTTATCAATTTTCCCTCCTGTAACCTTTTGCCAGCCAGGAAAAAAAAATCAGCCTTGATTAAAACCCACATTTTAATTTAATACCACATTAAAACTTGCATTATGTGGCACCTGCTTTTCCTTCCCCACAATGTTTTTTTCACGCTCAGAGAGTTTCTCAGCACTTGCCTTGCTACCAGAACCTCTAAACACCTCAAATATTAAATATTTGCCCCCACTAGGTTTAAAATCTTTTATTTTTAATGCTCCTTAACTCCAACCAAAACTGCCATGGTTTAAAATGAGAAGCTTGACTCAGCTAATAAATCAAGCAGCAATTCAATTTATTAATTAACATGGTAACCTGTGAGCAAAGACAGCGCTGAGTGCAGTGGTGGGGGAAAAACTGCACACTGATTGTTGGGCTTGCTGGTATTTATTGATCATATTCATGCATATTCATAAGCTTTTCCTAGAAGTTTCTATTTCCCATTTCTTCCATCAGCTTTCTGCAGTTTCCATTTCCCAATTTTTACGTGAGCTTTCAGCAGTTTCCATTTCTACCTTTTGACGTCACAATTCTATGCTTTTTATTTTTTATTCTGTGCTTATTCTAGGATCATCAATCTATGATGGTGATGCTGGTTCCTTTCCAATTTCTGTACTCTGCTGTGTGCATCCCAGGATGTGTGTGCACGTGGTGGGGTCCAACTTCTGTTTTCTAAGATCATTAATCTATGGTAGTGATGTCCAGCTTCCCCTTTTGAAATCATTAAGCAACAACCTTGATGTCTATCTTCCTTCTCCAGGAGCTTGGGATAGAGTCACTTCCCTTTTTGTTTAAATCCTTTATACATTCTAAAGCTACAGTTTAAACTCCTTAGTACTCAGCAACATTCTAAAGTCATAATTCAAAAATTCTTGTTACAAAACAACTCAAGACTCATACATTTTAAAGCTACACTTTAAAATCCTTAATACTAAGCAACATTCTAAAGTTATAATTCAAAAGTTCTTATTGCAAAGCAGCTTAAGACTTATAATTGTTATTTGCAAACAAAAGATTGGTTCAAAAGCCTTCTTCCATGCTTCCCTTGGTTGTTTATCAGAACTCATCTTTATAGCTCATAGTCCCATGTCTGTGCTCCACACATTTCACAATTACAATGACACAGTTTGCCTTTATTTACCTGACACGAACCACAACTTTGTATTTCACACCACAGACAAAGCAGAATTCCAGATTTTTGATGTTTCCTGCACCTCAGGTGGTTGTGAGATAAGGTCAGACACTTTTCAGAAGCCCTGGAAGTGTGTCCCAGCTCCTCCTCTCAGTCAGGTACTAGCAAACAAAGGAGTGCCACACATTTTAAGTCTGGAAAAATTCAGATTCCAAATGAATGAACCTATTAGAATGAAGGATTTTTTTTTTTAAGATCTCCTCTTGCAAACTCAAAAGAGACTCATTAATTAAATATACACCAGGAGACAACATCCTGCCACATAGGGAATGGCAAGAATGAGTAGAAATTGAAACCCCAGAGTGACAAAGGAAAATTCAGCTTTTAGATTCATTTCCACATCTCCAAACACAGATAATTTAAGGTATTTCACAAGATATCCTAAAATAATTTTATTTATTTAAAATTTATTTGATTTTTTAAATTTATTTTTTAAATTTTAAATCTATTTATTTTTATTTACTAATGCTCCAGCTTCCTCATTATTTAGTCTGCAGCAAAAGCAAACAAAAGAGCATCCAGGATGATTTCACTGCTCTGTGATGACCCAAAAAGTTACTGAGGTCCCTTCCCAGCTCGTTAATAATTAAGCCCCAAAGTAAACTGGCATTCAGCTGCAGGGAACTTTCAGTTCCCACTTCTGATTTTTTACCTCATCTGCAATCCCACCCTGCAATGTCAGAGTGACCTCAGAACCATCCAAAGCATCCCAAAAAGGAGTTTAGGGTGAGGGGAGCACTTCAGAGGCAAGGCTGGGAGCAGCTGGAATTCCTGGCTCAGGTCCCTGTGCCACAAAAACCTTCCCTTGGGAATTCAGCTGCAACACTCCCAGTCAATGCTGCTTTCACTTTCCATTCCCTAAAATGATGGCAGCAAAGAGCAACTTGTTATTCCCTGATACAGTTCTGCTGCTTTCATTTTCTATTCCCTAAAATGATGACAGCAAAAAGCAACTTGTTATTCCCTGCCACAGGGGTGCCTCCACAAAACCTCTACAATTTCAAATTCCTCTTGTATGAAAAGTGATAATTAAAGTTTATTTTCATACAGCAGTCCTGAGATTACTCTTGTATGAAAAATGATAATTAAAGTTGATTTTCATACAGCGGTCTTGAATTGTGCTTACTTGAATATCCTTCCTTGAAAATCCTTTCTCTGAAGGATACAAACATCCAAGGGAAGCACATCCTTACATGCCACAGAAATGTATTTTTTTCTAAATGTGACGCAGGATTAATTTGGATTAAGAGAAAAGAACTACCACGGGATTTTTTCTCTCCTAGATTACATTTATACAGGAGAATGACAACAGAGCAGAACTGAGCAAAGGCAATATTCCCAACAGCAGCTTTCTGAGCTGCAGAGACAAAATCCAGCCAATTTGCTGAAACATTTCCTATGTAATGTTATTTATTCTGCACTGGCTTAATCTCTTAGCTGCTTTTCATCCACAGCACAGCATCCCAACAAAACTGACTTTGGCAGCCCCTCTGGAAGGGACCTGGCAGAAGAAAACTGAATCCTTCCAAAACTTTCTCCTCAGAAAAAGAGAAAGTTCCTGAATGGAGAAATACAAAATGTCCTATTCATCCCAGCTGGGTGAAAGCTGACTGGAAATTCAACAGGACTCTGAATTCAACATTTCACCAACTCAGGCCCACAAGAAAGGTGAACAGAATATATTTACACAAGATCAGTCAAATGTTTTGTTTGTAAAGCAGAAACATTTTATGATTTCCACCCACAAATGAAAATGAAGTTCAGAGAAACTTGTTGCATTTTAATATTTATAGATCCCCTAGCACAGATGTGTCCCAGGATGAACATTGAATATTAATATTAGAGCTTTTTATTTTATATCAGGAGTCTTGGGTTGTCCTTGCTCTTTTCTCCCCCTGCCCAAACACAGGGGGTGTTTGAGATGATCCAGTGGAGCTGACAGAATTCCTTATGCTCCAAAGAATTTTGGGATGGTCTGGACAATGCTTTAGGGAACAGCAAAAGTTTATCTGCTCAACTCAAGGGAAATCATGGAATGGTTTGGGTTGGGAGGGACCTTAAAGCTCATCCATGGAGGGACACCTCCCACTGTCCCAGGCTGCTCCAGCCCCAGTGTCCAACCTGGCCTTGGGCACTGCCAGGGATCCAGGGGCAGCCCCAGCTGCTCTGGGAATTCCATCCCAGCCCTGCCCACACTCCCAGGGAGGAAATTTTTCCTATTATCTGATCTAAACCTGTAATTTTTCACTTTGAAGCCATTCCCCGTGTCCTGTCCCTCCATGCCCTGGAAATTGTCTCTCTCCAGGTTTCCTGGGGCTCCTCCAGGCCCTGCAAGGCCACCCTGAGCTCAGCCCAAAGCTTCTCCTGTGCAGGGGAACAATCCCAGCTGTGCCAGCCTTTCCTCCCTCCAGCCCTTGGAGCATCTTCACACTCCATGTTTTTATCATCCTTCCCTTTCCTGCCAAGATAGAAAGAAGAGAGAGACACAAATTTGGCAGCCCCAGCTCCATTCTCCCCTTTGGCACAGCCCCATTCCATGGGAACCCAGGCACTTCTGTTATTTCATGGTGATCCCTTCCCTTCCCTTCCCTTCCCTTCCCTTCCCTTCCCTTCCCTTCCCTTCCCTTCCCTTCCCTTCCCTTCCCTTCCCTTCCCTTCCCTTCCCTTCCCTTCCCTTCCCTTCCCTTCCCTTCCCTTCCCTTCCCTTCCCTTCCCTTCCCTTCCCTTCCCTTCCCTTCCCTTCCCTTCCCTTCCCTCCCCTTCCCTTCCCTTCCCTTCCCTTCCCTTCCCTTCCCTTCCCTTCCCTTCCCTTCCCTTCCCTTCCCTTCCCTTCCCTTCCCTTCCCTTCCCTTCCCTTCCCTTCCCTGATGTGTAAAACATCATCCATCCCCAACAAGAGAAAAACCACAGGAGAACCCAAAAAAGTACATTTAAATGCAAAACTGAGTTTTTATCCCTGGCTTTATTCCAGCATGGACAATGCAGTGGATTGAACTCTACCAGTAAGACAAAAAGGTGAAAATAAGGGCAAATTTTAGGTTTTTTTTTTTGCCTTTTATTTACTTAGTTTCCCCTCAGTCTCTGAGAAGAATGGACACCTGATATCCTGGGGTGTTTTGTAAAGAAAGGAACCACCATTCAGTCATGTGGGGGATTTTTTTTCCTCAACACCTAAGGCAAAATTTATATAAATCTACAGAAAAAAACTCCTTTACTCTTAGCAGAGCTGTGTATCTTCTTACTCACACTCACAGGCAAGACCTGTAGATCCCCCAATTCCCCAAAATCCATATTTTAACCCCCAAACCCCACTATTACCTGGTTTGATTTCTGAAGTGTCAAACGTGGCCAAGTTGAAGAAAAGGTCACCACGGTGTCTTTGAAGCAGCAGTGACAGAAAAGCAAAGATTTAGTTTCACCTCTGCCAGTTTTCCTTGAACAAACAGCCTCCTCCCTCTTGCTCCTCCCATAATTGTAATTAATTTCTCCCAGAGAAATTAAATTCATCCCTGATCCAACCTTTGCTCAAGGCTTACATCCTTTCATTTGTGTTTTCTCAGGGCATTTTCCAGTAGCTTTCCTTGATCCTGAAGGGATTTGGGCATCCTTGACAAGGCACTGAATTAATCCTTCCATCAAATGATCCCAAATGTGGCCTTCACTCAGTGTCAGGTTGGAATTCCAGATGAAATTGATCTCTCAGGAAGCAAAAAGGGTGGAAAATACACAGGAAAAAAAAAAAGATTGCAGTCAAGATTTCAATGTCTGGAACGGGATTAGAGGAGTGACAAAAGGGTAAACACATCTTTGTGTCTGCTGGTCATCAAATCATGATTTAATGGAAATTAAATCACTAATGAAACTGAAAATTAATAAAAGGACAGGATCGTGGCACAGTTAAGAAACAACAGCAAACAAAACCCCAAAACTTCATTAATAACCCAAAACTACCACACAAACCAGTGCTGTTCTAATTTAGACACAAATTCATTTTTATACAATGCCCCCACATGCCAATACAGCTAAAATTCATTATTTCAAAGTGAAATGTTGAAAAAGCTTTTTTTTTTTTTTTTTCTTCAATAAGGAGGTGTTTTAATCTGGCTTAGTTTGACAAGGAAGTGAGGGTCAAACTAATTAGTAGTTAAGTTTAGATAATGACACTTAGAGTGACTACTGAAAGTATTGGACACGCTTTTGAAAATGAACACAAGGGTTAAAAGTAGAGAGCTCTTAGGGGATGTGAAAAATGCCAATCACTTAGTTTTTAAAAGTTTAAAAGTTTATTAATAATAATTAAATGGTTATAGAAACAGTAATACAATTAGAGTAATAAAAATTTTGAGTTCGGAGAATCACAAGACAATAAAAAGCAAAGAATTACGGATGTCCAGATGTTTTTGGGCACTGAGCTGCCAAAACCATGCCTTGTGAACAAAGGAATAACCCTTAAAAGCAACAGCCTGTTGCATATTCATGTATCTCATACATGATGCATAAATTCCTTGCAAATTAAGTATTTTTCTGGTTTTTGTCAACTTCTTCCCCTCAATCCTGGTGGCTCCATAAAGACAGAGAGAAGGTGGAAGAATGTTTCTTTTCTGATGAGGAGGCTGTAACTCTTTATGGGCCCTGTCACTGTTATCTCTGTGTGAAGAGTTCCTTGATTATCTCATCTTTTTCTTGAGCTAGTTAAAAACTATCTTACACAGCATAGTTTCTATTTTAACACTGTGTTATAACCTAAAAATCTGTATTTAACACACTACTTAAGAGAATTAATACAGCATAACTTTCTAACATTACACATCTAATATTCATTGTAATATTTGCAAAAAGCCAAACATAAAATATGCATTTTTCACACTCTTTAATCAGAAAGACAAGAGAAGCCTGGGACCTGAGATGTCAAAAAAAGATGGGGAAAACATCCTAAGTGGGAGGAGATGATGGAGTGGCCTTGGCTGGACTTTTCTTGTACAACCATAGACTGAACCAATTTTCTCCTGCAACACAGAGACTGCATTATTAGAAAGACACAATAACTTAAGCCAAAAGAAGTGCAAGAGTAGAGTAAACAGGAAAAAACAAAGATGAGTAGGGTGTGGTGGTGCCCTCAGTCTGCAGGGATGAAGAAGATCTCTGTTCTCAAGACCATCAGCCCCAGGGGAGGAGAAAATATGGGGGGGCTGTTGTCCCAAAAATGAGAAACTTTTGTTCTTTTAGTCCTTAACAAAGCATCCTTAAAAGAGAACTCCATGAGCAGTTTCAGTCTAGTAATAAAAGCACTATAACATAAAAAAGAAGGTGTCACAATAGCAGAGTTTCCCTGGGCAGCTGCCATGTGTGACATGGAAACACAAAAAATTGCAATTGTGTTTCCTGGGGGTCTATGGCACAGGAGAGACTCCTTTCTCCCTCAATAAACTAAAAATTAATCATCTAAAGAGTAGTAACAATCAAAAATCTAAAGTTGTGTCTCACTGTGTTTCAGTAGAAATAAAATGTTTTAGAGAGTTTCCATCCTAAATTCTGTGTGTGTTCCTTTTATTGTAGTTGTAAAGCAATAAAGTTTTTTTTCCCTTTGTTTTTAAGCTTGAGCCTGCTCTGCTCTGCTCCTGATCCCATCCCACAGCACACATTTAGGGAGGGTTTGTTTTCCTGATCACATCCCACAGCACACATTTAGGGAGGGTTTATTTTCCTGATCACATCCCACAGCACACATTTAGGGAGGGTTTATTTTCATAAGGGCACTAGCACTGTGCCAGAATCAAACCAGAACAAATCCTACCTGGAATACTGAATGAGGAGATTTTTCCTCCAAATTCAGCCAGAAAACCCAGCTTCAGATCTACATTCATACCAAAGTAATTGTTACCAAGTCTTAAAAAATTCCAGAGCAGCTGATGATCATTTTGACAGATTTTTAAAGAACTGGCATAAGATTTTTCAGGCAAATTCTCAAAATTTTATTGTCTTTCAATGAAATAACAACATTTTAAACTCAATTCTCTTCTGAAGTTAGTTACAAGCTTAATAAATAATGAGGTTCTGGGCTTTATAATAGGCCTAAATAACATTGAGTCACAGACATAACACAATTTATAACACTTGGGAGAAGGGAAATAAACTTCACTGTTTATTTTTATGAAGTAAAATTCACTGTTTAGAAAACATCTGAACCACTTAACCTTGGGTTTTAACAGCATGGACCTGTCACTTCCTCTATTTCCTGCTACTCCCTTGAACTTTGTTGTCAGTGTTCTTAAAAATAAGTTTAAAAAAGTAATTTCAAGCCTTGTTTCAGCAAATCTTCACAACCCACCTTTATTATTTTTGGTAACTCAGTAAATCTGATATTTTGGGGGGGTGGGGGGGATCAACAGTTTTGGCTGAAAAAAGAATTGTGTGAAGGAAAATGGAGGATTTATCACCTCAACCCAGGAGAAACCTCCCAGAATCACAGGAAAATGGTGAAGATGGAAAAATCAGCCACATTTTATTAATATTTACAAAGGCAAATGATATATTTACAATGCAAACACTTCCAGTTAACAATTCAAAAAAGATCCTCAAGTGTTTGACTAGCAAAACACATTTTTCTCTCCCTGAATTAAAAGAAAAATAGAATTAAACTGTTTAAAAGCTGCTTTTTTTCCCTCTCAGAGGGGAATTCCAAGCAAAAAGCTTGCAAGTAACAGAACACTTTTCAACCCACTTTTTTAATTTTTAAAGAACAACCAGATAAATTACTGGGGCATAATTTTCAGAGCAATGCAGGTTAATAAGGTGCATAATAATAATAATAATAAAGTCATATGAAGTTAATTAGAAATTCAGGGGAAAAAAAGTTGAAAGAGTTGTTTTGGTTTTTTTTTTTAGCTTCGAGAGGTTTTAATTGTCCCTCAGTAATTTTTATCAATCCTTTGTCCAAACAGATTTTAGTAAAAACTATCTGCTATTGCAGATGCCTTTTTCAGGGAGGAAGAACATCCTGTTGACTTCACTGATGGGAATATCCCTCAGGGCTGGAATTGCCTCCTCCTGGAATTTCTTCTGCTGCTGCTTTTTTGCAAAGTTATCTACAAAAGATAAGGAGAGCACTTCATAGTTTCCAGGTCCTTTTCTTCCAAGAATATGATATAAGTTTATAATGCAGCACTATAAATTTAGCTTACTTTAAAACACGCTGAAAACCCCACCAGGGCTTCCAATAAATCAAATATTTAAAGGCTCAAATTTTGGGGTTTATCCTCTATAGATTTCCAGAATTCTCAGTGAAGGATCCAACTTTTCAATAAGCAGTAAAATTACCTGTGATGGTGTGAGTGGAGTTGAGTGGAGCTGTGCTCATCATGTTAATCCCAAAAAGCAAAATATAACCAATTCCCACAGCCACCAGGAGATAAACTGGCAGAGCAACTGCCCAGTACCTGAAAAAAAGGATTTGAAATTTATATTTAGTAACAAATGCTTACTAATGAATCAGCTTTAATCGTTGGCATTGTATCTGTGATGAATTTCTCCAAGAGGAAAAGAAGCAGCACCTCTGATTATGAATCCTGACTCCACTGAAGCTACTGATAAACCATCAGATAAATTCATTCAAAAAGGTCTTTATTGTTTAATTATGCCCTACATTTTACTGTATTTCCACTAGCAAACTTCCTAAAAAGCAAAATGTCAAATTTATCCTAAAACGTCCCAATATTATTTATTTCATGGCACAACAAAACATTTTCACCTTAGCTACATTAAAAAAATGCTTTAGAAACATTACAATTATTTATCATCAGGGGGAAATTGATTTTATTCTAGGCCCTTATTTAAAAATAAAGTTTTTTATTTGAAAATAACTAAATTTATTTTATTGGCTGAACTTACTTTTGAGGCCAGTATGTCAGTCCCAGGGAGAAAAGCCAAGTCTCAGGAATATAAGCCCAGATAAGGTACAAAACTGCACAACAGAATCAAAAGGTCACAATAAGACTGATGGTGTTTTAGACTTCCTAAATTTTGCTTTTATTTAAACCAAAACACCTCTCCCAAAAGATTGCAGAATTTGCCTCTCAGACACAAATCCTGCCCAGCCCCTGGTTACACGGGAACAGTTTTGTGTTTAACATTTAATTTCTGATTTCCTATGAAGACAGGCAAGAATTTACTCCAAATTAAACTGCAGAACAATAAAGAAAAAAACAACCAAACCACCCCCAAGCACCTCAATAAAAAGAAGCCATTAATATTAAAGATAATATTAAAGCAGAGAATGATCTCACAGAGGGCATTTAATGGGAAGGAAACCGGGTGGAATTGTAGTGTTTGGATGGAACTGTAATGAAAATTACTGAAAATCCTTCCTGATTCTTCTTGGGGGGCAGTTGAGCCCAACTCCCCCTCGTTTCTCAATGCGACGGTGCCACAGACCCACAGCAGGATCCTGCACTGAAGGACATTTGCAGCGCCTTTTCTTGTGCTGAAAAAGTGTTTTCTACCCTCTCAAACCCTGGATCCCCAGTGAAATGAAGAACCCATCACATCAGCAGAGAAAAGCTGATGGAACCTAAAATGTTTTACACTTCTGTTGACCAGATTATGTTTTTTTTCATTATTTTGGTGGGGAAGGTAACACCACAACTACCTCCAGCGCTTAGTGAATGTGAAAATATGCGTGATTCGAGTGAAAAACGGATTGAAACGGGAAAGCAAAGCAGCACTGCGGGGTGATGGATTCGGCTGCGCGATACTCACTGAAGCCAAACCACGAGCCCAAAAAAAGCGCAAATCCATAAATTGCCCTTTCTGGCAGCGGGGCCGGAGAGTTCTCAACCATGCTGGGCTCTTGCCTTTAACTTCGCGGGGAGGGCGGAGAACGGGACACGAGGGGATCAGAGATAAGGGATGGCAGAGATAGATAAGGGATGGCAGAGATGATAGATAAGGGATGGCAGAGATAAGGGATATCAGCGATAAGGCAGCGCTTTTGGGGGGGGCGGCTGCGGGGGCCGCACCCTTCCCTCCCCACCGCGCCGGGCTCTGCCCCTTTGCTGTCCAGAGCCTGGGCCAGCAGGAGGAGGAGAAGAAAAAGGAGGAGGAGGAGGAGGAGGAGGAGGAGGAGGAGGAGGAGGAGGAGGAGGAAGAGGAAGAAGGGGGAGGAAGGCGCTCCCTACCGCCGCTCCCGCATCCGCCGCCGCGCCGCCCGCATCCGGCCACGCGCGCAGGCGCACGGCCCGCTGATTGGCCGCGGCCCGTGACGTCAGAGGGCGGGCGGCCAATGGGCGGTGCGTCCGGAGGGCGGAGCGCGCTGGGGCGGTGGGAGCGGCGGTGGCGCGGCGGGATCGGAGCGGTGCGTGCGGGATCCGGGCGTGGATACCGGGATACCGGGATACCGGGATACAGGGATGGAGGGAGGAAGGGAGCGGTGGCCGCTCGGCCGCCTTCCCCCGCGCCTCACCCAGCCCGGGAGCCCCGGTTTGTGCCCGGCACCGTGAGGCGCGCCCCCGGCCCGCACACGCGGTGCCGTGAGCATCTCCGGGCTCCGGGAGCACCGGCACGGACGGCGTCCCGTTCTCCCCTTCGGCGGGATAACACACGTGAGCGGCGAGCCGCGGTTTTCCGGGATGGGATGGCGGCGGAGGGGGGAGCCCGGGAGCTGCTGGGACGGGGCGGGGTGATCGGCATCCCGGGATGCAGCCGTGATTCCCGGGGTGCATCCCGGGATACAGCCGTGATCCCCGGGATGCAGCCGTGATTCCCGGGATGCAGCCGTGATTCCCGGGGGTGCAGCCGTGATTCCCGGGGGTGCAGCCGTGATTCCCGGGGGTGCAGCCGTGATTCCCGGGATGCAGCCGTGATTCCCGGGGGTGCAGCCGTGATTCCCGGGGATGCAGCCGTGATTCCCGGGGGTGCAGCCGTGATTCCCGGGGGTGCAGCCGTGATCCCCGGGATGCAGCCGTGATTCCCGGGGATGCAGCCGTGATGCCCGGGATGCAGCCGTGATTCCCGGGGTGCAGCCGTGATTCCCGGGGGTGCAGCCGTGATTCCCGGGGGTGCAGCCGTGATCCCCGGGGGTGCAGCCGTGATTCCCGGGGGTGCAGCCGTGATTCCCGGGGGTGCAGCCGTGATTCCCGGGGTGCAGCCGTGATTCCCGGGATGCAGCCGTGATTCCCGGGGATGCAGCCGTGATGCCCGGGATGCAGCCGTGATTCCCGGGGTGCAGCCGTGATTCCCGGGGGTGCAGCCGTGATTCCCGGGGGTGCAGCCGTGATTCCCGGGGGTGCAGCCGTGATTCCCGGGATCCAGCCGAGCTCCTGTCGCAGTGTAGATCAGTCAGTCGCTGCCTGAGCTTTCAGCCGGGTTTAAGATGGCTTGTTCAGCTTTTTTTTTTTTTTTTTTTAACTTTTCCAGAGGTTAACAAGAGCAGCAGAGTGAGGTTATCGCTGTTGGAATTGTGGCACAGCTCCTGAGTTTGTCTCTCTGGTGTTTCCTCATCCTCCTTTTCTCCCAGGCTGATGTGCCATGGCTGATCCTCTGTCCAACCTTGTAGCGGCTCTTTTTGGAGGTGATCCATCCTACTTGGAACTGGTAAGTGGGGTTGGAGCTTGATGGGAAACTTGCAGGATATTCCAGGGCAGTTTTTACCTGGATCTGGCCTTGGCACAGGTGCCCAGAGCAGCTGAGGCTGCCCCTGGATCCCTGGCAGTGCCCAAGGCCAGGCTGGACACTGGGGCTGGAGCAGCCTGGGACAGTGGAAGGTGTCCTTGCCATGGCAGGGGTTGAGTGGGATGATATTTAAGGTCCCTCCCATCCCAAATCATTCTGGGATTCTCTGATCCCATCTCCAGAGTCCTTCCCAGTGTTCATGAACTCAAGCTGTGTACAGGTACCTCACACTGGCCATGATTCCCTTCCAAAAACCCCAAATTGGGGCAGAGCCAGAGCTGGTGTCCCCTGTGAGCAGGGGGGGACTGATGAGTGCAGCTCCTGCCCAACCTGTTGGTCCTGTGGCCATTCCTGGGCTGCTTCAGCTCAGCCTGGCAAATCAATCCCTGCAGGGCAAGCAGCTCTGGGCTCCTGGGATTTCAGCTCTGGGCTCCTGGGATTTCAGCTCTGGGCTCCTGGGATTTCAGCTCTGGGCTCCTGGGATTTCAGCTCTGGGCTCCTGGGATTTCAGCTCTGGGCTCCTGGGATTTCAGCTCTGGGCTCCTGGGATTTCAGCTCTGGGCTCCTGGGATTTCTGCTCTGGGCTCCTGGGATTTCTGCTCTGGGCTCCTGGGATTTCTGCTCTGGGCTCCTGGGATTTCAGCTCTTGGCCTGTGGGATTTCAAATCTGGGTTCTTGGGATTTCAGCTCTTGGCCTGTGGGATTTTAGCTCTAGGTTCTTGGGATTTCAGCTCTGGGCTCCTGGGATTTCAGCTCCTGTCCTGTGGGGTTTCAGATCTTGGTCAGTGGGATTTCAACTCTTGGCCTGTGGGGTTCCACCTCTGGGTTCCTGGGATTTCGGCTCTTGGCCTGTGGGATTTCGGCTCTTGGCCTGTGGGATTTCGGCTCTTGGCCTGTGGGATTTCGGCTCTTGGCCTGTGGGATTTCTGCTCTTGGCCTGTGGGATTTCGGCTCTTGGCCTGTGGGATTTCAGCTCTTGTCCTGTGGGATTTCTGCTTGGTATTCCTGGGATTTCTGCTCGGTATTCCTGGGATTTCAGCTCTTGGCCTGTGGGATTTCAGCTCTGGGTTCTTGGGATTTCAGCTCTTGGTCAGTGGGATTTTAGCTCTGGGTTCTTGGGATTTCAGCTCTTGGCTCCTGGGATTTCAGCTCTTGGCTCCTGGGATTTCAGCTCTTGGCCTGTGGGATTTCAGCTCTTGGCCTGTGGGATTTCAAATCTGGGCTCCTGGGATTTCGGCTCTTGGCCTGTGGGATTTCGGCTCTTGGCCTGTGGGATTTCAACTCTTGTTCTGTGGGATTTCAGCTCTTGGCCCGTGGGGTTTCAGCTCTTGGCTCGTGGGGTTTCAGCTCTTGGCTCGTGGGGTTTCAGCTCTTGGCCTGTGGGGTTTCAGGTCTGGGTTCCTGGGATTTCAGCTCTTCCCTGTGGGATTTCAGCTCTGGATTCCTGGGATTTCAGCTCTGCACAGTGACTACACCCTTGTCCCTTCTTTGTTCTTCCAATCTCTTCCAATTTTATGCATTTCTTTGTGCCCAAATCTTTCTTTTTTCTTACTTAATCCCAGAATCCCAGACTGGTTAGGGCTGTAAGGGACCTCACAGCCCACCCAGTGCCAGGAATACTTTCCTTCACTGTTTATTTCCCCTTCTTGCTGTGCTTGGGGAGTCTCAGAAATCCCCAATTTCCATATTTGAGCTGCTTGCAGAGCTCATCAGGAATTATTTATCCGTGTGGCCTTTTGTCCTCCCCAGGCAGGAGGAGTTAAAAGCACAAATAAATTGAATTTCTCCTTTGTCAAACTCTGCCTTTCCAAGGGACTGGTACCAATCTGGAATCTTTGGGAGTCTGGGAGGTGAAGTTTAGGGGGTATTTCAGGATTTTTGTAGATGCTGACACTTTAAAAGCAGCAAAACCTTCCCAGCTCTTCTTTTTTGATTATTATTTTTCTCCTTCCTCTTCTGATGTGAATTTTTAATGCCTGTGATTCCATTCAGAATTTATTTATATCAGTGAAGAATTTTTTTGGTGTTTGCTGCTGCCAAAACAAAGCTCTTTTAAGAGTTGGCAGTTGTCTTTCAAGATGAGCTGATTTTTAAATCACAGATGATTTTTTCTCCTTTTTGTTATTTTGTATACTGGCCTGTTAAATACATGAATTTCATGATTTCTTTCTGCATTTCTGTGAAATGATAATGCAGCATTTCCTATGATGCAGAGTGTTCATTAAATCACACATTTATGATGAATAACAGACTTTGTAGGGATTTAAAAATCAGAATAAATAATTTCTTCTTCAGCTTCAAGTGCCCAAATGTGGTTTAAACACCTTAAAATTAACATGAAAAACTAAATCAACTCCCCTTATTTTGCTATAGGTGGTTTTATTTAAATACACATTCACTCTCAAAATGTAATTACTATTTTTGATTATTTTTTAAAAACCTGTGTTACCTTCTTAAACCTTTAAGTTTAGTCTGGTCATCTTGAACATGATTTTGCTGCCTGATTTTTGAGTTATTAATTCCTAGAATCCTCTTCTAGTGTGATTGAAAATAATGTTTGAATGAGTAAAACTTTCCCTGTCCATTCATAACCATCAACCTATGGCCATTTTTTTAATGGGGATGCAGGTAAATATTATTTTTTTCCCCAAACAAAATGCTTTCTTTGTTCCTGGCTTGGCTTTCTCTGTTTGCTTTTTGGCTTTGCAATGTACTAAATGGTAAATATGTAAATATATACATATAAATATGTAAATAATGTGTTTATCTTTAGGGTCGTGGAACGTTTGGACAGGTAGTACTGCCTAATCCTAAAACAGGTATGGAAACTAAACCAATATTCTTCCATTTCTTGGATCTTTGGATTACCATTTCATTTTATTTTTCCTTATTTTGCTTGAAAACTGGTTCATTATTATTTTTTTAGCAGAAGCATTGTTATATTCTGTTACCCTGAAACAATTCTCATCTATTTCTCCTAATATAACTTAAATATTCAGTAATATTTACATAAATCTGGCAATTAATGCTGTGAGGATGGAGATTCAAGGCTAGTGGTGTTAGCTGTGTGAGTCTAAAGACAACTTCCAGGGTTTTTTTTTTTTTGTTGTTGTTTTTTTTGGGGTTTTTGTGTTTGGGGTTTTTTGTTTTTTGGTTGTTGTTTTTTTTTTTCAGGGAAGGTTTTTGCAGTAATAATTAAACAAAAATTTCCAGTTGCAGAAAAGCAGGTTGCTCAAATTCAAAACTGTATTTTCTGCACAACCCTCTAATTTGTGGGAATAAGGAAGGGAATTTTTGTGGGTTTTTTGTGTATTTTTTTGTGCAATTTTTGGTGATTTTTTTTTTGTTGTATTTTTGAGTGGTTGTTTTGGTCTATTTTTGTGTATTTCCAGACTCTCAAGTGATGTTGCTCTGCCCTGAGAGTACCTGAACCCACCCCAATAAACTGAATTTCCATTTCCTCCAGAGCACCTGTAGCCACCTCAATTACCCCATTTAATTTTTAATTCCCATCCCTCCCTCCCTGT